TATATATATATATATATATAATTTAAATAAGAATAGGTTGAAAATTGGTTTCCTTCACTGAAGTATTTCATACATATGATTTTCGTTTCTTAATTCTATACTCAAATATGTACACGATTCATGCCATTGATTCAATCGTTTGTTGCTAAGTAAAAAGCAACAATACTAATATTGTTTCATATTTATTATATAGGCCATATATAGTGTTTCTAAAGTTCATACATATGATATTCGTTTCTTAATTATTTATACTCAAAATATGTCCACGATTCGGTATCGATTCAATCTTTAATTACTCAATAAAAAGCAACAATAGTAGAGTAGTAGGGTTAAAAGTTAACGTTACCACGGAGACGTTAATTGATATCTTTTGTCTTATTTGATGAAGCAAGCATGTTCATTGTCTAGCCAGAGTGAGTTGGTAACTCCCTACTCCAGTAGTTGTGTAACGAAAACATTTTGTTAGGAATCGTATATGAGAAAACATTTACTGAAAAAATAGAATAGGCCCTATGCCAATATACAAAACAAGACTTTATTATGTTCTTGAAAGAACGTATGGCGAAATACTTTATTACTAAGATTGATTGTTTTACGAAGTAGTTTAGCATAATTTTTAGTTAAGAAGTGTTTACTTTATCCTGCAAAATATTCTAAGTTGAAACTTTATTGCTTTAATAGAAACAATTTAATTTAACTGTAGCTGTCACTTATCAAGAAACTTGATTTGTATCTTAGAATAAAGTACATAATATCATTAATTAATCCTGCATTATAATTATATATGTACGATTAAGCAAGTGTACCTATTGCAAGACGATTATACGTTCCAGGTACAAGTGATTGATTGGTTACCGTATTTAAATAATTAATTAATAATTAAATCTAGGCATGAATGGAAATACATTGCTTTAAATAGGTATCAATTTGCCAGTACTAAGTTGCCTAGTAACAATTATTTCAGTGAGAAACGTTCTCACAAATAGGGTCCAATTATACTCTTGGGAGAATAAGAAAGTTTTGTACGCCGCCAATTCAAGAATGTTATCGGAGAAAAGAATGTCAAATGCAGAAAATAGCCGACTGGCTTGATCTACGTACATGGAAACTGTACGAACATGTGCGATGGTTTAGGAATGTGGTTGTTACTCGAGTTGTTCGCCTATAATGTAGGGTCCGTAGGGTCTGTGGACCCTATAATGTAGGGTCGGTGGCCATGGCCTATACGACGTGTTGTTTCCTTGTCTAATTATTATTTTACATAATCTTAATACAGACATTGACTATGATCATTAACCTCTATTGTGTGTTATAACCGTATTATTGCTCGTTAAACCAGGTTGAACTTTTAATCAGTTGGTGAATTCGCATTAGGTTATTCATCAATCGTCAGACACTGCACACTCGTTCTGCACGAATGGGCATGTTTTGCCCTATCTAATACAAGCGTAACCACGGAATTTCTATTGTTATCTTCTCTATGAAGGGCGTTTATGGGCCTAATTCCAACCGATCATAAGATGTCCTACTACAGGGGAACCGAAAATGGGGCCGATCGAAATAACATCGCCTTAAGGGAATGTCCGCGAAATATTTGTTTTCTAGACAAACGCAACCACTGAGGCATTTTGGGCGATCAATTTTTCCCCTTTTTTAACTTCCTATTAAATAGCCAGGTTTCAACTAGGGTGAGGGCCTAAGATAGGCAGTAACAACAAGGAAAGGTCTGACCTAAGCCTAGAGATGTTCTGGCAGGCCTATCCTACCGAGGCCTAGGCATAGCTAGGTATAGGCCGGCCTACTACTCTCTAGCGGGCCCTCCGGCTTCGCTAGATTTCAGCTAAGGCAGGGGTACTTTATTCTCGCTTGATGTCGCCAAATCTAACAAAACTGCTATCATTTTTAATTGCTAGGGCCTCGGACTTGTCAACAACACCCGCGAACGAACAAAATTTCTTATCTTCGATCGTTGCCAACACTTACTATTCTAGCAGCAGCAGTGCACTGAATGACGTCACGCATGTATCGGCGTTTCTATTGGCTAATCATGACGTAATATCATTTACCATACCTTTAGCAATCGGAAGTTCCGATACGGTACCGTATCTCTAGCCACGGCGAATTAATTAAATATACTAACTTTCCAATGTCGTGTATAGTTGTACGCCTTGTATAAATGTATGTATTATGCGCCTATTCAGTGCATAATCTTCAGTAGCCTAGCTAGGCGAGAGTCTTACAACAGATTCTGCATAGGCCTAACTTCACGTAAATGAGGCATAGGCCTAGACGGACTGCTGCGGGTTGCTGGACGCACAATCTAGGAGGCCCAGACTACTGAAAAAAAAAAACCTCCTGGTCCGACCTAGCCCAGGCTTAGTTGGAGGGAGCCTAGACCTACGAACGTCCATACTACCGGTACTTAGTTTAGGCCAGTCGTCTGAAAATGGACTCGATCGTCGCTCACCCGCCCGTAGCAGCAGCACAACAGAAAACTAAGCCAAGCCTCAGCTTGCTCGCCTTGCTAAATTCACATTGGTTACACCAGGGAGTTGTTATATAGTGACTCCCTGGTTACACCACAGGAATATTCCTCCATGGTGATTATACATGACGTCACCATATACAAGCCGTATTTAGTCAACATCTGGTTGGTTCCGGAACTCTCCCGAGAACTAATGAGTCATTCTTGAGCGTAATTGGATCAATGACGGGGATTTCCATTTCTAACAATAGTCTAATAGTATAAAATACAGTTAAGTCATGCAACTACATGCATTCATTCTGAAATTTTACTAGAGTTGTCTTACAGGTGTACCGAGTACGAGACCATACCAATCCATTTGATACCGATAGTGTTTAAGGTTTGTTGCATTATTTTTTTTTTTTCATTCAGGAAACCGAACTAAGGTAACTAAATGATGACTAATCTAACCGTCAATTGTAAACTACGGAAGCTTAAAGTGACCTTCCGCGTTTCCGAGTTTCCAAGATAATTATCTTGGAAACATGGAATAAATACATATTAAGACATCTTTCCAAGATAATTTATCTCGGAAAGATGGAATTCCGAGATAATGTATCTTGGAAAGACGTCTTTCCAAGATAATTTAACTTGGAATTCCGTCTTTCCAAGATAACGTTATCTTGGAACTCCGTCTTTCCAAGATAGTTTATCTTGGAAAGACGGAATTCTAAGATACATTTTGAGTATATTTCCCGCACGATTAAAATCGTAACGGTACTGGTTTTTGTCTTCAGGAGTTCGTGTTTCGCACAGGCCATTCCATTCATAGAAAAAACCTTTATTGGAGATAGCGTACCAGCCTAGGTCACAGGGGTGGCGCCGGCGGGGCAGTCCCCCTCCCGGTGGGAGATAAAAATATTATATGTATTTTTTACATATTAATAGACTCAAAATTCGATTAAATAAGCATTTGAAACCCCTAAATTGTCAAAATTTTCGGGGGCTGCACCCCAGGACCACTTTCGGTGTCTTTTAGTTGAAGCTCGACAACACCCACTTCGCTCGACCACACCCACCTCGTCGGGGGAACCTCCCCCCCACCCCATGGCGGGCAAATCCTGGTGCCACACCTGCTAGGTCAATACTAACTCCGACTATATAAAATTGATTATAAAATGTATAAGAGACAGCACCCCACCCTCACACTTAACTTTCAAAAAACGTTCCATCGCCGTTGCCAGTGGCTCAGTTGATACAGAGACAGGCGCCTACACCGTCAAACCAGACACCATGGTTTGAATATCGGTTGGAGCGATTTTTCAGTGTTCTCATACCGTTTACAATTTATAATTAAAAGCTCTATAAGCCTATGTATTATCAGCATAAATTGTAATCTTTATCAATATACAATTATTAATTTTTTAAGGGATAATTATAGGATCAATTTAATGATGAGTAACGACCTCTCTTCAATTTCTACTCAATCGTCTTACCACCTCACGAAAGATGATATTGACAAAACAGGTTACGATATACACTTTAAGAAGAAAGTTGATGATGATTTGCATTGTAACTTATGCCGCTACCCACTCCGCTTACCAAAACAGTCCGTATGTGGATGTAGATACTGCTCCGCTTGTATCAAGCTGTATTTAGAGTAAGTACATTTCTTACGTCATAGAACGTTTGTTGTACGTTTGTTGTGTGTAAGGATACCGAAATTGATAAATAAAATTAAGAGAAATATAATAAACCAGGGGCGGATCCAGAGATTTCCGAAAGGAGGTCGAAAGGGGCCGATCTAGAGACAGCGCTACCCTATGGGTTCTGGAGAGATGTCCCGGGAATTTTTTTTTCTAGACGCCCGGAAATAACTTTGAGGCGTTTTGGGCGATCAATCATTTTTTTTCCTTTTCTTCATTTTCTTTTCTTTTTTTCCAAAGGGGGTTGGGGGAGGTGCGGCTGGCTTGCCACTGTAAACTATTATTATTTAAAAAAAAAAAGGAAAACACTTTAAATATAATATTGATGGAACTGTCAAATAAGGAGGTGGATTTGTTCAGAGCATGGTGGGGATGGGGGTGCCTTGAAAAGCAGTTATTTTCTGGACTGGTACACACGTACTGGTACGATACCCAGTGGCGTAGAAAAGTATTTTTCATTGGGGGGATGATTGAAAATTCTTGGAATTGACATAAAATTACTGATGTCGTACACACCTTTCAGTGTGAAAATGTGGCACATCTAACATCTAAGGAAAGAAGAGTTTAGATTGGTACCAGATAAAATAAATTTATCAACATTAATACATTATGCTAATTTTCATCTTTGTATTAAGCACATAAGACATTGCAAATTATTTCTGTGACAGTCTTTTGAAGTGTGTAATGCTCCATGCTCCATTTTATCCCATACATAGTCAAAATATTTGGGGGGGGGGGAGTGATACAATGGACCATCCCTCCTTGTCAAATACTGGGGATATATCCCCATCCCCCCGGGATCTACGCCTATGACGATACCATCTGCCAAAGCATTAAGGTACAGAGGGCCTACGAAGTACTGGTATTTGTTATATACCGTACCAAATGCAGCCTGGAATAACGGATGATGAATACGAACAACACAAATAATAATATTAATACCACATTTCTAGAACGCCTGTCACTGGCGCTGGAATATGTTAGAAACTTATTTTAAGAGAAAGTATTTAAGGTTGGATTTGAATAATTGAGAATCACAGATCATAGAGACAGGTACCGGTACTTGTAACGTAGTTGCGTAATTTTTACCACCAAGATTGGAAGGAAGGAAAACATTAACCACACGAGAGGATATATCCGCTTAATCGTGGGAAATCATGGTAGACATCACGTTCTCCTACAAATCCACCTTCCGAAATGACATGATTTTTAATGAACTTGAATAAACTTGCTATAGATTAAAAAAAACAAAAAACAAAAAACAAAAAACAAAACTCCATCAGTGACGATAAAATTATAATGCCTCATTCAGGATCCTATAATTCATTATACCTGTGATAACGTATGTGATATCTGATAAGGGCTTGCTTGAAATAAGCGTTGGCGCCAGTCAGACGAGGGGGTGGGGAGAACAGCTTGTTACCGATGCCGTAGCCAGGATTTTCAAACAGTGGGGGACAATATCAGGGTAGACTCACTTTAAGTGTAAATTCAAATAATGTGGACCCATTTTCTTTAAAGGTGACCCATTTTACGCAAAAACAGCATATTTTAGACCCATTTTTAATGTGGACCCATTCTTTGTGGCCCCAATAGAAAATTGTGTGCAGGCCCGTATCCAGGAGGGGTTTTTATGGTTCGGGAGAACCCCCCTTTTCTAGCAAACCCCCCCACTTTTCTGGCGAAACCCCCTCTTTAAATTACCCAAATAAGTCCTCCAACCCAACTAATGCACTGCAGCCCCACCTAGACACAGACATTTTCAAACATATCTGCTTTTATAGCATTATTTAGACCCATAAAGCACAAAAAAATCCTCTTGCTTTGGGGTTTATGCCGACCCCACCGGAATTCGACTGTGGATCTCACGCCTAGAACCTTGGATGAACCTGGCTACGGGCCTAGTGTGGAATTGTCCTAACTGCATGCGGCATGGCTTGTTACCGATATTGGTCTGGGACGGGAGAAGCCTTTGAAAGTTTCTGCCACGCATACCGTACAAGTAAAATTTGTATATCCACATTTAGGGAGCACAACATAGATGATGAATTCGATTGCCCTTCATGTAAAGAGAAAATATCCTCAGCAGAGATGGTTCCAGACTATCGAGTCAAGAAACAGCTTGATAAAAAAATTGTGTTCTGTCCGAAGAATTTAGAAGGCTGCCAGGCCGAGTTTCCTCTGAAAGAACTCGAAGCACATACCGACATCTGTGAGTTTACGATGGTAAAGTGCCCGAATCAACTCAATGGGTGCATTGCATCAATTCGACGCAAGGACCTTGAGAAACATTTGAAAATTGACTGTGCGTTTCGACTTGCTCAATGTATTTATTGTCAAGAACGATTTCCCAAATTGAAGGTTGCGGTAAGTTATGTTTGGTATTACATCTCTCCCTCCAATTAAGGACCACCTCCAATTATTCTGTGGTCCCAAATTGACCAATTTCTTTTATCTTTATTATTATAATGAGAGACCAAAGCTGAGACCATCGGAAACCCGGTCCCAAAAGTGGTATTTTGATGGGAGGCCCATATGTATTATCTACAAGACAACATTCGTTGATAGTTATGCTACAC